AAAAATTGCATCCATCCTGAACTTTTTTCCCACTCTTTATCCCTAAACAATGTAGTGTAACTAACGTGTGTTCAAGGCCAGCCAAAAAAATCAAGTACACCAAGGGATATGGATAGGTTGTGTCCAAACACCAGGCCATTTTAGAGGAGACTCAAGTATCTATGAATTTGGGTATTGGTGAGGATCTTGCAACCAGAGCCCATGTGTCCTGAGGAAGTACTCAGACCAGGACAGGGCCAGGGGATGGAGAGGTGCACGCTGGCCAGAGGCTTCCTACATGTGTGGTCAGAGCTCCCTCGCTGGGGCTGGCTGAGTTCTAGCTCTGTAGCCCTGGGCTCTGGCCTGGTTGCAGCCGCTTTTCAAAACACTCAGCTCAGTTCCTTGCAGAGCAGGTCGGGGGGGGAGGATTGTTGAGGAACCAGAAGCCCTAAAGTTGCAGAGAAGTTAGAGAAGTAGGGTGAGGAGTCAGCATTGGTCCAGTCAGGGCACCGGAAATGTTTATGAGATGTCAGAGGGCGGAAAAGTTCAGGTAAAGCTGGCAGACCCTCAAACAGCATGTACTTCTGGGCCCTGGCAGAGTCCATTTCTGCCCACTACAACTCAGAGGGGATTTGTGTGAAAAGTAGGGGACAAAGGGCACCAGGACCCAGAAAGTGTGACTGAACCAGGTGGCAGCCAGGTGAGCGAGTGTGTCTGTCACTCTTCCTGGATGTAGAGCATTAAAAGAAGATCCCTCTCGGCCTTTGATCAGGTCTTGACAAGTTCCTGCTTTTTGCCCGAAGGATGGACATCCGTCGGATCAGCTTCGACACCGAGGACCTGTCCGACGATGTCATCCCACTGGCTGACGTGCGCAGTGCTGTGGCCCTTGACTGGGACTCCCGGGATGACCACGTGTACTGGACGGATGTCAGCACTGATACCATCAGCAGGGCCAAGTGGGATGGAACAGGACAGGAGGTAGGGCCCAGTGTGACCCAGCCCTCGGAGGGCAAGGGGCTGAGGTGGGGACCCACCTCTCCTTGGGAACGGCCAAGGTTTGGGCTGCAGAGCTGGAGCGGAAGTACAGCAGGTGACACAGACTTACTTCCTGTCCAGGTGGTGGTGGATACCAGCCTGGAGAGCCCTGCCGGCCTGGCCATCGACTGGGTTACCAACAAGCTGTACTGGACAGATGCAGGTGTGTACCGGGGAGCTGTGGCCCAGCTGCCTGAGATTCCCCTTATTCCAAACCCTGGAGTCCCCTCCTGGACTGTGTCTGGGGCTCAGGCACAGAGGTGAGGCAGAAGGCATTTCAGATAGTGACCCCATGCCCTGTGGTATTGCTTCCATTGCCATCTAGGTAAGGCAGGCGTTTTCTATTAGCCATGCGAGTACAGGAAGGAAAGAGAGAAATTTCTGGAAGTGTAGTCCGTAGACAAACTGCATCAGCCTACCTGGGAAGCTGTCAGAAATGCAAATTCTTTGGCATATCCAGAGACTGAGATAGGAGAATTGCTGGGAGTTCAGACTAGCCAGGGCTATAGAGTGAGTTCAAGGCCTACTTGAAATACAAAGGGTGACCCTGTCTCAATAAAAAAAGCAGATTCTGGAGCCACACCCAGAATTACTGAATCAAAATCTTTGAGAATTAAGTTCTGTATTTTAATGATCTTCTGACTCTTACATTAAAATTTGAGAATCATTGCCTTATGGGATAGAGCTGGTTGCCTAGGTGAACTTGATCACATCCTTGAATTTCTTCTCATGATTCAGTTCACTAAATATCCATGGTGTGTATCTGCCAAAAAGTCTTTGCTGAGCCCTTTCTATATGGGAAGGTTCCATGTGGGGCACAGAGGATGCCAGTAGGGCAGGAATGAGACGAGTTAATCTCTTTGCCCGACTTCTTGGCAGGTACAGACCGGATTGAAGTGGCCAACACTGACGGCAGCATGAGGACTGTCCTCATCTGGGAGAACCTCGACCGCCCTCGGGACATCGTGGTGGAACCCATGGGCGGGTGAGCACTGCGTCTTTGGAGCTCCCGAACCCCACCCTGCACTCCTGAGGGCATCTGGGACTAATTAGTGTGAGTGGCCCCTGCAACAGACGTTCCCAGGAAGCCAATAGTGGAAATCAGAGGGCAGTGGTCACCCTGCTTCATCACTGGACAAGGAAACCTTTTCTTTGTTTGCTTACAAAAGTAACTTATGGCTTGGGCATGGTGGTACACCCCTGTAATCTCACCACCCATCGAGGCTGGGGGAGGAGGATTGCTGCCAAGCTTAAGGCCAGTATGGGCTGCATAGCAAGACCCTGTCTCAAAAACAAAAGTCTGCAGAAAGTGAAAATTCTCTATAATCTCCCTCTGGCAATAACCATTGGTAACAGTTTAGTATATTCTTTACAGAGTTTCTTCTAAGTGTATATAAGTATTTCTTTTTGTTAAGTGTGGTGGTTTTGGTTTTACAAAAATAGCTTACTGCTTTGGCAGTATTTTATTGCCTTGTATATCTTCCCATTATTTGTTCTTCTTCATGGTTATGTAGAGTTCTATTGAATTTAAATACCATAGTTATTTAACCCACCCAGTCAAGGCAATATTTCTTAGTCCTCATTCTCTCCTCCTCCTCTTCTTTTTTAAGACAAGATCTTGCTGTGTGGTTCAGGCTGCTCTCAAACTCACTGTGTAGCCTAGGTTTCAATTTGTGGAGATCCTCCTGCCTCAGCCTCCCAAGTGCTGGGATGACAGGTGTGTGTCCCGCCACTCTTGGCTTCCCTCTTTCTTTATTGCCAAGTAGGCCTCATTTACTATATATTCTTCAGATATGGGCTCTCACTTTATCAAGACCCCGGAGCCCCTTTTAGTAGCAATACAAGACATTTAGGGACTGCTCTGAGCCCTGGGCTGGACTGGGCAGTGAGGCAGAGATAGCTTCTGTGGGCAGAAACCCCAAAGGCCGAGGTAGCCTGGATCCCACTCGGTATTAATGGTAAGGTTTGCAAGACTTCCCTCACCTGTGCCCAGGTACATGTACTGGACCGACTGGGGTGCAAGTCCCAAGATTGAGCGAGCTGGCATGGATGCCTCCGGTCGGCAGGTCATCATCTCCTCTAATCTGACCTGGCCTAATGGATTAGCCATTGACTACGGCTCCCAGCGGCTATACTGGGCTGATGCTGGCATGAAGACCATCGAGTTTGCTGGACTGGACGGCAGCAGCAGGAAGGTAGGGGTGGCACTCAGGCACCTCCCCCAGCCCGACAGCCTCCACAGTGCCAGTACTCACTGGCTGGCAGGTGACAGGAGCTACAGGGTCCAGTGGTCCTGAGGCCAGTGTGCAGCTTGTGCTGTTCCTGAGGCTGTGGGCACTCTGGAGTCAGGGCTGCTGGTTGACGATGAAAGTGAATGGAGCATCTCAGTCCCTTTCTTGTCACTGAGCACTCATGGGCACTCACAGCATAAAGGAGTAGATGTTCACTTTGGCCTGCGTTTCAGTTCATAGTTGGCCGACTGCAAGGCAGGAAGGTACAGTGGAAGGGCCTAGTGGAGGAGAGCTGCTTGCCTGGATAGCTACTCAAGGCCTGGCAGTGGGGGAGCCAGTGATGGTGTGGGAGGAAGATGGACCCCTCCAGGCCACGCCCACCGTGGCCCTGCCCACCGTGGCCACACCTCGACCAATGGGAGGTGTGTCAGCTCTTTCCAGTCACCTTTTTTTTTTGGTACCATCATGACCTTACGGTTGCCAAGCAGGCATTTACACTGCTGAGCTAAACCCCCAGCCCTCCCAGTCACCTTCTTAAGGTCCCATCTGAAATTAGAAACAGCTTAACTCCAAAATATTCCAATGCATGTTGTTTTTTGTTTTGTTCTGTTTTGTTTTGTTTTTTGGTCTTTTTGAGACAAAGTCTCTATGCAGTTCAGGCTGGCCTTGAGTTCATTTTGTAGCCCAGGCTGGTCTTGAACTCATAACGATTCTCCTGCCTCAGCCTCCTTTATGCTAGGATTATAGGCATATGGCACCACGTCCAACTCAATGCATATTTCTTAAGAACAAAAACGGTTTCTTATAACCATAGTATAGTTATCAAAATTGGAAAGTTTAACATTGATACAGTATTACCATATAATCCACAAGCCCTATTCAGTTTCACTACTTTTCCCTGATAGTGTCTTTTATGGCTTTTTATTTCTTTATTCATTTTGTCTTTTACTCCAGGATCCAACTAGGATCCTGGTTGTGTTCAGCATTCTCATCTCTTACTTGCTAATCTAGAACACTTCTTAAACCATTTTTATGTCTTTCTTGAGCTTTGCATTTTATTTTTATTTTTTTATTTTATTATTATTATTATTATTTTTTTTTTTTTGGTCTTTTTTTTCATTTTTGTTGGTACCGGGGATTGAACTCACGACCGCCTGCTTACAAGGCAGGTGCTTATACTGCTGAGCTAAATCCCCAGCCCCGAGCTTTGCATTTAAAAAAAAAAAAAAGTAAAGCCATTTATTCCCTAGAATGCTTCTCAGTTTGAGTTTGTCTGAGGTTTCCTTAAGATTGGATTCTGATTTTGCATTTGAGGAAAAGGTGCCACAGTAAGTACAGTTGTGTCCTGAGTTCTCAGTGTGTCTCAGCTGTAGGTACAGACATTTGCTTGTTTTGCTATCTTGGCTATTTCAGTTGCATGATGATAGAGCTGTCCTTGGTAAAGTTGCCACTTTTCCATTTGTGCTGAGACACTTCAAGGTGATGTGAGGAACAGGATCTTTTCAAATCATGAGATTCAGTTTAAGCACCATTATGGTCATTTCACAGATTGGTAGAGCAAGACTCAAGAGACTATGTAAATAGCCGGGCGTGGTGGCTCACACCTGTAATCCCAACACTGGGGAGGCTGAGGCAGGAGGATCGTTGAGAGTTTGAGACCAGCCCTGGGCTACAAAGTGAGCCCAAGACCATTCTAAACTGCATAGCGAGACTCTGTCTCAAAAATACAAAAAAAAAAAAAAGAGAGAGAGAAAGACTGTCGTGAGTGTCTAGAGCACTCTGAACTCCGGGCAAGGTAAACACGCACGCCTTGTCGGGACACGGGGGGTACAGCGCTTGGAAAAGAAAGACAGGAGAGACACCTTTGCTGTCTGCACCGCGTTACACTGCACTGCACTGCACTGTACGCACAATCTTTATTTTAGGATTCATATATAGTAAACCCGATCAATTCACAGAGCCCAGATAATTAAGTAGTGAAAAGGCATTCTTTGTGGCAAGCTACAACGTGACAGACTACAATGTTTATTCTAAAACTATCTAAGTGAAGTAAATAATCACAACCAGTTCTCACAACTTCTCTAGCCCAGGAAGAAATTCATTAGCTCAAGAATGTTGTTAATTTGTCTGCTGTTAGTGTCACAAAGGGTGGCCAGCCACTTCCTCAAGACTTCTGCAAAACAAAGCCAGCTCACAGTATGGATTCCAGAGGGTGAGGGCTCACTGAGAACAGGCATTCCCGTTCTACCTCCTTCTCGCATACCAGGGCGGCTATTGTAAATTGCAGGTTAGAGGGGGTTGGGCCTACAAAGTGACACCTCATCCCCCACACTTCCTTCCTTTTTATTTTTTAACAACAATTTCCATAAGATCAGGTTATTAATAGCATTTCGTCTTATGCAGTAAAAATACACAAGAACTATGGCAATGAGAACTATAATTAAACTAAGTCCCATGCCACTAAAAGTGTGGGTAATGCTCTGCCAGATTCCTTTGGAATCTAATCCTTTCAAAGATTGAGCAAGCAATTGCGCGAATTGTGCTAGAGATTCATCATCATTTTGCTTTGCAAAATCCTTGTCAATTTGATTATGCAAAGATTCTATTTCCTCCTGGGCAGAGGTGTTTCCATTTAAATACATTCTAATCATTTCCCATTCAAGTTCTGTCTGATTATAAGGTCGTTGGGTTATACAGAAAGTAGTTGAATTCCAATCACATTTTAAAAACACTTGATGCTGAAGAGCCAATATTTTTCTACCCATCCATTCAACTGTTTGTTTAAGGAGGTCTATTTGTTGTTGTAGTTTGGCGTTTATTTGCCACTGAGTTAACCAAAGTTCATGAGAATTCTCATGCCATAATTCGACAACATGTTTTTCTTGCAAAGAGGTATGTAAAGCTACTCCTGAGACTGCTGCTAGAGAGGCTACAGTTATCAGACTTAACAGTACAGCAACCACTATTCCAATAAATCTTTTTGTACGTTTTAACAGATGTTTAAAAAATTCAGTAGTAACAGAAATTACCGGGTCTTGAGACCAAGGTCGAGTTAAATTTACAGGCAACCAAATATGAGTTTTTTGTTGTAACAGCATAACTGTATAAGGCTTAGTGAAATTTAGTGTGCTATTTAAGCATGTAAACAATTGACAATTTAAACAAGTACAAGAAAAATGTGTAAAATTAAAAGTTCCCACTAAAAAGACATAAGGTAGAGGTGCACAAACAGTAATATTATACATTTTAAACCTAGTAAAATTATAAGTAGTAGATACAGATCGACTAGTCCCTGAATATGAAACATTGTACAAGGTTACAGGTTGCATAGCGGCTGGGATCTTCCAAATATGATTTTGAAGGTGATGAGGGTATTCTTCGGCTGCAACAGCAGGGTTAGCGATTCCACCATCTCCCCACCACAAGAGAGCCGTCTTTTGTTGAAATATAGGAGCTCCGTCAGTTATTTTCTTTGGATCTGGAAGACTATACACAACAGAGAGATTACATCTTGTCTCATTCCATTCAGCACATCCATTAACGAATTTTCCAAATGGTCCCCAAATAATATACCCATCAATATTTTTAGCAAATTTTCCCATACATAGTTGCCAAATTATGGGATTATAAGAAATATTTTTATAAGTGAATTCAGGGCATACAGGAAATGTATTTGTATCAGGTGCTGTTAAATTTTTCCAGGTAACATTAAAGGTTTGAGCAGCCAAGGCTTGAAGCCTTGTCCTTTTGTTGCCTGCTTTTATTCCATGTTGAATCCAATACTGCCATCCCAGAGGGATGCAAGGCGGTTCCCCAATGCAAATAGGCCTTTGATTACCATAATAAGTAAAATTGAATAGTGTCCCATCATCTTGATTGTGGGGGGTTAAATCAGCCCACGGTGCTGACAAAATTTCTCTAGGTGTGGTATAAAGTAAAATATCACTAGTTCCCCATTTTACAGGTTCTAATAAAGGGGGGTTTGGAATATATGCCCAGTACGAATGCGGAGGTACCTCAGTCCCCGATGCAACGGTGAGCAAGGCACATAAAGCTAAAAACAAGTTTTCGGGGTTTAAAGGCTTTCCTGCTTGAAGGACAAGCCGTTGCCCTTCTATGGTCAATTTCTTTAATTGTCCCCATGTAGGGAGGGGATTTAAATTTGGTCGCTGTGAGCGGCGGGATTTTCTTAGCTGTAATCTGGCCATGGCTGCGATAGGAACAAACTCAGCATCCTCAGCTTCTAGCTGGTTTCGCGCTCGCTTCTGAAGGCACGGTTCCGGTTCCTTGGGGAGTTGTCTCCGGGGCTGGTGAACAGGATCTGGAGACGCGGGTCCTGATCCATCGTCCAGGGACCCACTGCTGAATTCCATTTTCTGTGGAGATATAACCAAAACCTTTCCCCCTATAGAGCAATGTGCCCCTCTCCCATTCAGCCTCTGGAGCTGTTTTAGTCCAAATAGGTTCATTAATCACAAAAGGCTGTTGTTGCTGTTCAAAATGTTTTTCAGCTCTTGTTAATATTTCACCTTGTGGTAAATTGAGAAAATTTAAAATAAACAATGCTTGATGCAGTAATGTTTTTGGACTGTTTTGCAATTTAAACAGTATTGGTATCTGAATATCCTCCTGACTCCTCCTTTTTAATTTTTTAATTTGTAACTTAAGAGTGCCATGTGTTCTTTTAACAATAGCTTGACTTTGGGGGTTATATTTAATCCCTGTAATATGAATAATATTATGGAGATCACAAAATTGTTTAAATGTTCTGCTAGTATAAGCAGGTCCATTATCTGTTTTGATTTTAGAAGGAATTCCCATAACTGCAAAAGTCTCCAATAAATGTACAATAACATTTTTAGTGGATTCTCCCTGTTGAGCAGTAGCCCATAGAAATGAAGAATAGGTATCAATAACTACATGTACATAAGAAAGCCGACCAAAAGAAGGTACATGTGTAATATCCATTTGCCATAATTCATTAGGTTGAGTTCCTCGAGGGTTGACACCTGCGGGAATAATTCTTAAATGTAATGGTCTACAAATAGGGCAAGCTTTTACAATCTGTTTAGCTTTTGTAAAAGGTATCTTATATTTAAGATGCAAATGTCCTGCATTTGCATGATTAAATTGATGTTCTTCAACGGGTGTGGTGAACATAACTAAGGAATCTACTGCATTGTTACCTGATACTAATGGTCCGGGTAACTGAGAATGAGAACGTAAATGAGTAATAAAATAAGAATGATTTCTTTTTTGAACATGTATTTGTAAATTTTGAAATAAAGACAATAAAGCAGGCTTATTAGAATATAACACAGCTGAATAGATATTTGTCACTACTCCAACAGAATAGGCCGAATCGGCTATAATATTAATAGGTTGGTTATGAAAATCTAAAAACACTTGTAATATAGCAAAAAGTTCATTTTGTTGTACAGAGTTAAAATTTGTCTGACGTACCCAGTAAGATTTTTGAGTCCAATATGCAGCTTTATTTTTAGATCCATCTGTAAATATAGTCAAAGCTTGTGGAATTGGCTGTACAGCTAATAAGGTATTAACCACAAATTGTTGACGTCTAAAAAAATCTCATAATTTACTTTTAGGAAAATGATATGAAAAAGTTCCCATGAAATCTGCTAAAGCAATTTGTAAGGTTTCAGTAATTGACAACAAATATTCCCATTGTTCCTTAGTTAAAGGGATAACTATATTGTTTATATCTTCTCCTATCAAAGTTATAGAACGAGCTCTACCATTCATAATTAAAGCTGCAACCATGTCAATATAAGGCATAACATTTTTAGATTGCTTAGTTTTAGTGAATACCCATTCTACTGGCATAGCATTTTGACCTAAAACTGCAGAGGGATATTGAAAAGTATTAATAATATATAAAGTTAGAGGCAATTTAGGATCAATCCTAATTAAAAATGCATCCTTAATTTGTTGTTCTACAAACTGTAATTCTTGCTCTGCTTTTGCTGTTAAAGAACGAGGGCTGGATGGATCTGAAGAGCCCTGTAGAGTAGCAAACAAATGTTGTAATGCATGGGTAGGAATACCTAGTGTGGGACGAAGCCAATTAATATCCCCTAATAATTTTTGAAAATCATTTAAAGTGGATAACTTATCTCTCCTAATAGACATTTTTTGTGGAATCACCTTTTGTCTAGTAAGAATATATCCCAAATAATGACTAACTTCTTCCTTTTGAATTTTATCCTGTGCTATTACAAGTCCAAACGGAGAAAAATATTGAGGTAAAGTTTTTAAAATATCTTTTAAAACATTTCTATCACTATATTAGCATTTTTGTCTTGCCTTTTTCGCACAACCTTCCATAAACCACATGTGCCACTGTAAATATTCTGGCTCCTTTAAAAGAATTTTGGCCAAGGCTTTCCAATCATAAGGAGCAAGATTACCATACTGATCTGCTACTGATGTTATTAATTCTCTAGTGTAATGAGCCTGAGGGCCATAAAGGGTTACAGCCTTTTTTAATTTTGCTAAATCATCTATATTAAATGTTTCCCATCTAGGGGGAACTGCCGCTCCATCTGCTGGCTGCGGCCTGATTACAGGGAAAGCAAAGGCAGGCTTTTCCTCATCAGAATCCCCTAATTTTGGTAAATCAGCCAAAGCTAGCTTGGCTTTACTCCAATTAGGGTTAGATGGAGGAGGTGCAGAGGGAACTATAGGCGGGTTTTGCTTAACGGAGAGTTGTTTCACCTCTTGTGTTAAATGTTGTATAGCCTGTAAAATTGGGCGATTGTCATAATTTGATATTGCTGCGGCAGCTAAAGCTGAGTCGGCTGTAGTGGATTTTACTTTTAGTTTGGACGCCTTTTCACTACTTAAAGCGATAGCGTCATTTTGAACTACATTCTGCTCCTCCTCTGTGAGGGGCAATTCCTGAATAACTGGCTTAATTTCTAGTTGAAGATTTTCTACAATATGTTCATCTTCCATAGCTTTTAATAAAGAGTACACAACCGACCAAATAGCCCAAAAACGTAAAGGAATCTTTTCCTCCTGTTGCATAGCCCTTTCTATACTAACCCTTGCCTTCCTCCATACTTCTACATCCAAAGTTCCTTCATCTGGAAACCAAGGATTATATTCTTTAATTGTATCAATACACATATCCAAGTCAGCTGACCTGAGCGATATGCCATATATAGATAATAAATGTTTAAGAATTTTTAAGAAAGGAGAGGCAGCAGATTGTCCCATTTCCCCGTAATAAAATTATACTTACCTTCCTAAGCGACCTTCGGAGTCCCTGTTCGGGCGCCACTTGTCGTGAGTGTCTAGAGCACTCTGAACTCCGGGCAAGGTAAACACGCACGCCTTGTCGGGACACGGGGGGTACAGCGCTTGGAAAAGAAAGACAGGAGAGACACCTTTGCTGTCTGCACCGCGTTACACTGCACTGCACTGCACTGTACGCACAATCTTTATTTTAGGATTCATATATAGTAAACCCGATCAATTCACAGAGCCCAGATAATTAAGTAGTGAAAAGGCATTCTTTGTGGCAAGCTACAACGTGACAGACTACAATGTTTATTCTAAAACTATCTAAGTGAAGTAAATAATCACAACCAGTTCTCACAACTTCTCTAGCCCAGGAAGAAATTCATTAGCTCAAGAATGTTGTTAATTTGTCTGCTGTTAGTGTCACAAAGGGTGGCCAGCCACTTCCTCAAGACTTCTGCAAAACAAAGCCAGCTCACAGTATGGATTCCAGAGGGTGAGGGCTCACTGAGAACAGGCATTCCCGTTCTACCTCCTTCTCGCATACCAGGGCGGCTATTGTAAATTGCAGGTTAGAGGGGGTTGGGCCTACAAAGTGACACCTCATCCCCCACAAAAGACTATGTAATTACTCTTTGGTCAAGGTCTCATTGGTCAAAGTCTCATGGGAGGCGGGAGTAGTGGTGGCAGAGCTGCATCCTGACGTCCCCCTGAGCTCTTGACCACTGCCACCTGCTGTCAGATGTGCTGGAGGTGACTCTGGTGCTGGGTCCCTACAGGTGCTCATTGGAAGCCAGCTGCCCCATCCTTTTGGGCTGACCCTCTATGGAGAGCGCATCTACTGGACGGACTGGCAGACCAAAAGCATCCAGAGTGCTGACCGGCTGACTGGGCTGGGCCGGAAGACTCTGCAGGAAAACCTGGAGAATCTCATGGACATCCATGTCTTCCACCGCCGGCGCCCCCCAGGTGAGCCACCCTTAGCCTGCCATGGCATCTTTGTCCTCGTAGGCCCTAGTCAGTCCCATTGACCCTCCTCCTCCTTCTCTTCTTCGTCCTTAAACAGTGACCACACCATGTGCTGCAGAGAATGGTGGCTGCAGCCATCTATGTCTTCGTTCTCCAAATCCGAGTGGCTTCAGCTGTACCTGCCCCACAGGCATCAATCTGCTGCCTGATGGCAAGACATGCTCACCAGGTAAGTCAGAGAGGGTTTTCTCAGGTGGGGTCTGTCTGGGATGGGAAGTAGCTGTCTTTCTCCTTAGCCAATGGGCTTCAGTGTGGTTAAGAAACTGAGTCCTGGTGCTTCCTTCTAGAGGTTTAGGGGAGAGACTGAGAGCTAGAAGACGACAGGGGACCAGGGGTGGCTCAGGGGAGCATACAGACAGGCAGTGACTCCTGGTTCTTGTGAGGTCTTCATGCATCAGAAAAAGAGGCTCTTATTTCAGGACAACTTCCTTTCATCTGGGAAACATGTGGATTTGATCAGAATATAACTTCCATGATTGTTTTGTGGGATGGTCCCAAAAGCTACCCAGGGCCAGAAATCAAGTTTCCTCCCTGGGAATCTTGCCCTTGAACTCTAACCTATGCAATTTGAGCACCTCCTACACTGTGAATAAAGCCATCTGGGGTCCTTTTAGTCTTCTTTTTTTTTTTTTTTTTAGATAGGACCTCACTATCTCACCCAGGCTGGTCTCAAACTCATGGCAATCCTCTTGCTTCAGCCTCCTGAATGCTGGAATTACAGGCGTGTGTCACCATACTCAGCCCTTTATATGCTTCATGATAAAGGACTCTTTGAAGAGAGCTGCTTCCATGATAGTAATAGAGATCATTTGTGAACCAGTGTGGGAGCTAATGATCAGTGCTTTTTGCACAGGACCTCTTTTAACCTGACAGCCGTCTTGCTGTTGTCTGCACTGTATAGATCAAGAAGCAGGCGTACATCATTCCGATAACTTACCTAGGATCTCATGGCTAGAAGCTAGCATTTAAGCTAGCTTCCGTTTGCCTGACTCCAGGCCCTCACAATGGCCCTGCTAGAGCGGTTGTCCTCCCTCCTCTCTCCGTCCGGACAGGCATGAACAGTTTCCTCATCTTCGCCAGGAGGATAGACGTGCGCATGGTCTCCCTGGACATCCCTTACTTTGC